AAAAGCTATAGTGTAAATACTTGAAGGTTTCCTTGCCTCAAGTACCACACCACGTTGAAGGATACAACTTTTGATCAAACTTATTGATTGAAAGGGGGTAGGTCAACTTTCTTACAAGTTGGTCTTGCAAGTCCTATTGTTCGGACCTTGCAGTTGTTGAAGAAGCGTGACCTTCGAAGGAACAACAAAGCCAGCACGAGTGCAGTAGCAACTTTGGCTTGCGAAGATATACCGTGCAGAAATTCACACAAGTGTAATGGTTGGTTCATTATTCAACAACCAACTATATAGTGGATTTTGAGGACGTAGAAGGATTACCCCACCTTCGAACCTCGTTAAAGTTTGCGTCTCTCTCTTTTATCTTTATTCTTACTTGCAATTATATTAACTGAGAAAACTAACCCATCCATATTGATTACTGCTCACTCTACCCACCAACTTCCGCACATAATCTAAAGTTCACAAGAACTCTAGATTAACACTCATTTTCACGTTCTCAAAAGAAACGAAAAAGTTTTTAAATTTGTAACAAAGTCTATTCACCCCCCCTCTAGACTTTGTAACTCACCACTTCGGGACCACCAATCCTGAAAATAAATTTTTACCCAATGATCTTTGAACTAGGAAGAGTTTGTTGTAAATGCATCTTTTACCCAATTATCTCTGAACTATCATTTTTCCTAAAAATTCAATACGCTTATTCTTAGGGGGGAGCTTGGTTGTTTCTCTATCTCTACTCCCGCCTAACTCACTTTGAAGTATAATATTTGTCCACATCAAAAAGGGAAGATTGTTAGTCTTGGTTTGCTAAGTCTTGTGTTTTGATGTTAATAAACAATATAAGATCTAACAATTCTTTCAGCCTTTCGGGTACAACAAGAATCCATCAAGATTCAATTTTCAAGAATGAACTTGAAACACTAAACTAACGTAGAATATAGGTAGAAACCATCGTAAGGATATGATATTATATACATATATTCACAAGCTCAAATGCACTCAAAAAATATGTTTAAAGCAATCATGTAAACATTTTTAAATATCCAAAATATTTTAAACTCAAACGGGAAGGATTACGGAGAATTTTGAAAAAACCAGGACAATGTTACGGCACCCTTAATGGTACGCCATACTATCCTTATAGTACGCTATACCATGCCCCCGATACCAAGGTACTGCCAGAGCAATTTGTTTTTTTGAAGGTACACGATACCCCTAGCCAGTAGGATATACCTTAGTCACGGTACCATGATACCATATGGTACCCCCTACCGTGATAGGGTACTCGAGTCGTTGCCTTCACTTTTCCTAATTACTGAATTTGAATTTAATCAATCCTAATCACCTCCCAATGGGTAATTAACCTCTTCCACTATAAATACAAGCTTAATCCTTCAAATTTGAACAAGAAACCAACCTCCAAACATCCTCTCTTTAAATTTAAGTTTGTTCATTTTTGTATTCATTATTTTCAATATTTTGGTTATTTCAAGAGCCTTATTCTCTTGATTTTTATACACACACTTTTGAGCTTTTGTTTTAGATATATACTCTCATATTCATAAGTTTAAATTGTATTTTAATAGAGTATATTTTTTTTGTTCTACACCAGTTAAGTTTGGTTCTTCATCTTTGTAATCAGGTCGTTGTGTAGAACTCATATTTTGTGTTCTTCAAACACACCTTCTTACGGTCGAGAATAACCATTAAATTCCCAAGTTGTAATGGTCAGGATAGCCTTATAAATCCTTGGATAAAGGTTCAAGGATAGCCTTTGAAATCCTTGTGGGGAACGGTTGAAAATAGATGATAAATCTTCATTGTAAGTGGTTCAAGATAGCTGCTGTAAAATCTCAGAGTGAATCCAATTGGCAAGGGTTGTTTGCCAAAACTAGTGTAGTGCCTTGAAAGAGTTCCAAAGACCAGGACTTATTGGATTTGGAAATCCCTGAGGAGGAGCCTTGAGGTACTGGAGTAGGGAATTCTCGAACCAGTATAAAATTGGCGTGTCTTTTATTTTACACTTTTAATTCTACGTTTATTTAATTCTTTTGCATTTACCAACACCAAATTTATTAAACTTCGAAAACTTTTCAAACACGTTATTCACCCCCCTCTAAGGCGTGGTCACAACGACTAACAAGATCAATCCAATAAATATGAGAGTGTATATCTACACTACAAGCTCAATAGTGTGTGTATAAACATCAAAAGAAAATGGCTCTTAATATGAAGTTTGGTAGCTTGGGTTGTTGTTTAAAATCAAGGATTATGGTCCTATTTATAGTTGAATATCAAATATAACTGTTTATGACCGTTTTGAGCTGATTTGGAGTATTAAAGATGTTCATAAGTGGTTTAAAAGAAAATCAGCAATTTTTAAAAATCTAACCGTTGAAACGATACTTCGCTGCCGCCTTATCGGTAGGGGGTACCGGTCTAATGGTACCTGGGTCCCGGACCAACGGTATCTAGATACCTTCATAGGCTAAAAGGCTCTAACAGTACCTATAACACCCTAATCCATCCATGTCTACAGCCCCTTTTGGATTAAAGCATAAACTTGGTAACCGTAAAATTTGAAACATTTCAAACACTTTTATTTATCACAATAATATTTTTTATAACATAAACAGTACGGAGGTTTCAATATTGCGGAAGCTTAACAAATCACAATCAAAAACATAATTAATTTATGTCCTTCAATTCAAAACCATCACATCCATCTCGACTATCTCGCCTCCGTCTACCTCCGGGATTGCATCACATCAATCTTTCTATTTACCTGTGTGTAGCAAATAAAACATATTACATGCTCAGCGTTGAAGCTGAGTAAGGATATC